TTTATCCAGATGATGAACCTGAACTAACAAATGAAGCTAAAGACTTTATCAAAGAAGTTTCAAGGGGATATTTGACAGTTCCACATGTGTGTACTTATCAGCTAGTTAGAATTGGTTTATGCTTTGTGAAAAAAACAAATCACAGAGCATGTTGTAGAAAAAGACTTATAAGCATTCTATCTAAAATGGACAAATATTATGATTTTGGTTTATCATCAAAGAGTCTTTTTAGGCGTTTGACAAATGTTCTTCTGCATGGAATTCAGAACTCGGATAAAGACCAAGCAAAAATTGCATCTCTTTAACAGACATCAATTAAGAAGGCACGCCTTGCTGAGTAGCGAATCTTCCTTTTTAGATTTTTTACTTGAAAAATATTGTATTGTTTATTTCTTTACGAAGTTATATAAAGTTCATTATGTTTAAAAAAAAAAAAAGTTGTAACATTGTTTAAAAGTCTCTAGAGAATATGATGTTTATATGTTTATTTCTTTCTAAATAAATTGTGTCAATAATAAATTTTTTGTTTTTTTATAGAGGTTTTTTATATCGACCTTTTAAGCTTTTTAAAATAAGTTTTGATTTTGTTATTAACAATAACGTAAAATTATTTTAATCGTATTTCAGAATTTTGGTTTTATAAAACGTTGTTTAACCCAATTTTAGTTATTTAGGAGTTAAGTGAGAAATATTGACTGGCCTTCGCTAGCGGAGTCAGGAAATCGACTTTGCGCGTCCTTCCGTATAGTAGTCCTTGGTATATATATATATATATATATATATATATATATATATATATATATATATATATATATATATATATATATATATATATATATATATATATATATATATATATATATATATATATATATATATATATATATATATATATATATATATATATATATATATATATATATATATATATATATATATATATATATATATATATATATATATATATATATATATATATATATATATATATAAATTTAAATGACTGAAAACAATTTTTTTTTAAATTTTAAATATAAAAAAATTAAAAAAAAGTTATATATTGCCAAAAACAAAAATAATAAACTTTCACAAATTTTTGATAAACGATATAAGATATATAAAACAAGGTATCTGAAACAAGATCAAACAATCTTGTCGTAAGAAAATAAGTTAAAACAAGCATATAACATTGTTATATGCTTTTGTTGTTAACAAAGTAACATTGTTATTAACATTGTTGTTAATTAAGTAACATTATTATTAACAAAGGTAACATCAATAATATTAAACTTCTACAAGTTTCCAAAGTATATATTATATAATCAAAAGAGAGATAATGTGGATCTATTCACCAATATTTTATTTAAACGTATACATACCAAAATATAATAAAATGTTAAGTAAAAATTATAAAAATCAACAAAATAAGTAAAAATAAAATTTTTGTAAATGTAAATAAGTAAAGGCAAAGTTAATAATTCATACTTTTAATATAAAAAAATGCCATCAAATGAAAAAACTAGGGTTTTTAATTTACTTTTAAAAAGACGAAAAGTAATGGGTACTTTAAAATCAAAATTCGGCAAAACAATTTTATTCCAAAGGTGTGGTGCCTTGTAGCCATTACAAAATTGATTAGAGTTCGTTTGACCGAAAGGTTTATTTAATATAAGTATTTCTCAAACTGTATTTGTTGATAGGTTTCGGAGCAAAAATATCTTTGAAGACAGATAGGGACAAGACACACGTATACAAAGCATAGAACATTATATATAATTAGCTCGTATATATTTAAAATTCTCGTTTCAATAAAATAACGTTTTGCGTTAGAAAAGCAATTCACAAAGCAGATTAAACGGATAGCATGTTTCTGACGGCGATAAAGATTCGCAATTTACTTTTTTCTGTATTACCCCAGGCAATATTAGCATAATTCAGATAACTGTGTATAAATGAAAAATAAAATTTGATTAAAATTTTTTTATTGAGGTAGGTTTGTGCTTTATATAAAATTCCTATATTTTTTAAAATTTTAGTGCTTATGTAGTCGATTCTAATATAAAAAATTCCAAGGTAAAAAATGTCATTAAAGAATTTCTTCATAAACTATATCAAGAGTATAAGGATCATGTCTTTTAAATTTTTGTAAAATAACTAGTTTCCTGCTTTATAATACCAACAAGCTTTGCTCAGAACTAATCAAAATGATTTTTATTTTGAATAATTTTCAATAAAGGACACACACAACACAAAATTTTTAAAATTGTAAAAAAGTTGTATTTGCATGCAGTAGTATTATGAATTTCTGAAACCTAGAATTTTTTTATCTTTATATATAAATTTATAAACAAAGTACAACTTTTATTTTTATACTTTTAGATACCACCTTTTTATAACACTAATTCGGTTTATTTAATAAATTATCATCGGCGTAAGATATTATTACATACTTTTTATATAGATTGAAGTTGCATTGTTTAATAGTTAGATAATAGTTGTGGTAGATATGCAACGTCTTACTATTTTCCAATTAATTATCAGATTTATTTCACTTTATTTTAACATTCATACCTTCTTAGACAGTTCACTATCGTTTTTATATTTTTAGATATTAATAAATTTGTTATGGTTCGTGTGTCTAAGTTTAAACGTGGTTTCACTAACTCCAAAATACACTTTTTCATTCCTGTCCTGAGTGTCTGGGTTTAGAGTGGCTTAATGCACAATGTTATTTACAAGGCGCTGTTTACTTAAAAGGGATTTGCTTTTAATTACGTAACTGCAATTTTTATTGGAACCTGAGGTGTTGTTTTTTATTAAATGATGGTTATGAGAGTTTACAATTAATTTGATGTTTGGCATACAGCTGTAACTCACCTTTAAAATATTTCTATTAAAAATGGTATTTGTGACCAACTGGGAAATGCTTGCCTATTAAATCTAATAAGAGAACTTTTGGTAAAAACATTTTTGCCATATGGGGGTTTAAACCAGATCATACTACGCTTACTGTTTTTTGATAGAGGTTGCAAGAGTTTCGGAATAAAATTAAGTTTAAATTTATAACCAGACTTTTTAATGCAATTTTAATAAAAGTGGAAAGAGTTTCAAAAATTACTTTTATTAGATGAATTAGATGACAGCCTTAGTTTTATAGAACAAGACAGTTGCTTTAATATGCTAGAAGATTGGAAACGACAAATTGGAAGGGAGATTGGAATCGAAATGTATATAATTTAGTTCATCATTTGGTTTACAAAACGGTCTAAAAGATTGAAGGTTAAGTGTGTCATCAAGAAAGTTCACAACTTTTATGTTGCATTGTATAGAGATAGAAAGATTGTCATTTTTACTAATTTTAATAAAAAAAATTTTATTTTTTAGATGAGTTGGCTACTAATATATATATATATATATATATATATATATATATATATATATATATATATATATATATATATATATATATATATATATATATATATATATATATATATATATATATATATATATATATATATATATATATATATATATATATATATATATATATATATATATATATATATATATATATATATATATATATATATATATATATATATATATATATATATATATATATATATATATATATATATATATATACGGTCTTATCCACGAGTGCAGTGGTAGGCCATTTAATCACATCCTTCATTACTGTCGCATATCTAATTAGAATTGACATCGAATATTGAACCTTTTGGTTCTAAGTTAAAACTCTATTATTTTTTTTTTATTTTTTTTTATGATTCTCCCAGAAGTCCTTACGTTTTTATCACAAAACACCGCGGGAGAGCATTTAACTAGAAGTTCACGCCTCCTTTATTAACAATGTCGCTTATTGGGCTAGGGCCAGCGTTGAACCTCGGACCTCTGGGTTCTTAGCTAGAACTTTAACCACTGTACCACGGCCGTTCTAAAATTTAGAAACTGTTTCAATATCTGAAACTTCTTGAGTCCTTGCTTTCTAAAGATCCTTCTCAGTGGGAAAAAGATGAAGCCTAAATTTTTAGATATAATTTTACATATAATATTGCTTCAACACTTAAGCTGATGGGGTCTTGTAACGCGTTACGATATCTTTTTAAAAACCGTATTTTCCTTTTCGAATTAAAGCAGGAAAATTTTTGATTAAACTTTAAGTTAAATTTAAATTTTTTATTTGGTTACAATGTTTATTGTTATGCTACTGTAATTCCATTATTTCATTTTTATCCTTTTTTTATCTTTATTGGCAATTCAAACAATACAGTCTTGAATTGCAACCTTTATAGTGGACAAGCCTAACAAGAGAATAACGATTGTTAATTAAAGCTAATGCAAAACAAAAACTTGTTTGTATACTCATTAATTTGGTGACATTTTGCAAAATACATTTGGAACTTCTTTTTATTTTTTTGTGAGCATATTAAAAAAAAGATTAGGGCAAAATATTTTTTTAATTATTTTTTTTATATCAAATTTTTTTACAATTTTTTTTATAATATTTCAACTCAATTGGATCTCAAAAGGTCCGTAAAAACGAACTCTTTGCAAACAGATACGAAACAGGGTTTTTTATGATAATCTATAATTGGATAGGAGGCTGGTAAATCTTAGACTCTTTTACACCATCTAGTTCATAGTATTTATTGTGAATTTTTTTAATTTAATGTGCTTCAAGAAGTTCTTACTGTCTTATCATAGCAAAGTAAACTTATCAACAAGAAGTCTATACAGTCTTATCTCAAAGCACACAGTAAACCTTTTAACAACTATCGCACGCATATTTAAAAATATAACAAACCTACAAACATTTATTAAAACAAAATCTTCATATATTTTAAAAATACTAACAAAAACTGCATTAAAATATTTTTTGCTATTTTTTATTTTCATTTCAATATTGTTCTAAATTTGAAGTTAAAAAATATTTACAATTAATTGTAATATAAATATCAATAAAATAAAAAAGGAAACAATTTTTTTAGTCAATTTTGTACAAGCAAATAATTTAGAATGAGCGCAAATATCACGCAAAAAAAGCGTGTAGAAAACCGTAACAAATATGCAAAATATAAAATTTTTATACAATAAAGTGCATATAATTTTAATTCTCGTCTGTTTAAAAAATTTAAAAACATAATACAAATGTTAAAACTTCAAAAATTGTAAATAATTAAACTCAAGTTAGCTTTTAAAATCAAGATTTTTCGTCATGCGATTGCAAATGAAATTTTAAATTTGATATTTTACAAAATGTTTTTCCGCATTCGAGACAACTATGTGGTTTTTCTCCGCTGTGAACTAAACGATGATTTCGCAAATTTCCTTTTTGATGAAAACCTTTTCCACAAATTTCACAATTAAAATCTTTTTTTTGAGAATGAGTTTTCATGTGAGTTTTTAGGGTTGATGATCGATTAAAAGCTTTGTTGCAGTCAGGACATTTATGCGGTTTTTCAGATGTATGAATAATCTTGTGTCTACATAGCGTGCTAGAGAGCCTAAATCCTTTATTACATATATTGCAAACAAAAGGTCTAGTCTGCGTGTGATCTGGCATGCGCATATGAATTGTGAGTGTATATTTTGTTTTAAATACTTTGTGACATTGAGTGCATTGGTATTTGGCGGGAAAGTATGTTTTTAAGTTTTCTTCCAAAGAATTTTCAGACTTTTCGGATTCTGATGGACTTGGAAGACTTTTATGAAGAATCCAAAATGGTTTTTTGTTTGAATCATTAGAAGATTTGCTTAACATCAACTTTCCGTCTTCTTTAAGTTTTAACAACTGAGCAGCGGCAAGTAAGGTCTCTATATTTTTCCATTCATCATTCTTCCAGTCAGTATTCAATTGAATTACGGATTTTTCATTACCGAGCTTTTCATCTTTTAAAAATAAATTTTTAGATGCAATTAAAGAAAGTTGGGTAAGAGGACTAGACTCAAACAATTCTCCTAACTCGCCTGATTCAAATGGCTTGTTTGCTTTTAATGTAGCTGGAGATTCAGGTGGTTGCAATGAATAGAGATGATCATTAATGAATTCATGGTTTGCTCCGAGTACAAAACCTTTTAAAAAAAAGTTTTAGTTAAAATTTAAACAGTTGAAGCAAAAACATAACTTATTTCTTTTTTTAGTACAAAAAAAAATTAACTGATGGCCTGCAAGCTATCTGATGGCCTGCAAGTTATCTGATAGCCTGCAAGCTATCTGATGGCCTGCAAGTTTTTGAAGAACAAAAAAATATTTGAGACTTAACTACAAGTTTCTCCACATGTAAATTAATTATTAAAATTGAGAAACGACTATTTAGTTAATAAATTATAAAGATGATTCAGTTATTCAGAGGCGGTTAGTATCATTTAGTGGTTACAATTCAGTGGCGGTTTGTAGCTGTTAGTTGATTGTTAGATGATTCAGTAGCGGTTAGAAGCTGTTAGTTAGTGGACATTTGTTAGTGGCTAGTTGGTAGTATTACTATTTTTATTTTATTTTAGTTTTAATTAAACTTTTTTAAATTTACGATGAAAATTTTAGATCCGTTTTACCTAACCAGGAAGAACTACGAATTCAGAGATAAATATTTAACAACTCTTACAACGACTCCTTATAAATATTGATAACTCTATCAAAAACTCATGTACTCTATCAAAAAATTTTGTTCACGATATTTCAAAGAAATACTTTTTCTTGTTCAATAATTGGTTTATTGCTAAATAATTTACTATATATTAATTATTAAGTAAATATGAATTAAAGTTTCTTTAACTCTTCTTCAACTTGCGAACAATATATATATATATATATATATATATATATATATATATATATATATATATATATATATATATATATATATATATATATATATATATATATATATATATATATATATATATATATATATATATATATATATATATATATATATATGTATATATACATATGTATATAAATATGTATATATATATATATATATATATATATATATATATATATATATATATATATATATATATTTATGTTGTGCATCACTTAACTATTAAAGTATTTGTTTGTTATAAATATTGCACTTCATTTATAATAAAGTATAATAATATTCTTCTTTTTCATACTTTTCATCGTTTGAAGCAAATACTTAATGTTAATGATACATCAATAATGTTTATGTTTATTTATAGAAATCAATAGCTAAGAATAAAAGAGACAAATAAAATGATTAGTATTTGCATGATTTGTAACTATATTAATTATAATTACACTAACAATAGCTAAATTATTGTTAACTTTCAGAATCTGCATTGATATTGAATGTTACTAAAAATAAGCTTTTAAGAATGTGCACCTTTTGAATCTTTTTTTTCTTCTGTCTTTACAGCTTCGTTTTCTAGATGAACCACATTATTGGTTGAATCGTCCGAATAACGCGGTATTAAAAATGATTTTGGCATATCTGCAAAAAGCACAATGCTTAAATTTTTTTTTTATTTTGTTATTCTAAAAAGTATTTTTTTAATATTTTTTTCATAATTAAATCTTCTGCTTATTTCTTTTGTTCAACTGTCTTTTTTAAAGCTGAAGACATACAGAGGTATATTACGCAATGAAACCAATTTCAACCTGCATCACATAAAATCTTCGACCAATACCACCTACAAATATTGGTTTTAAAAAAATGGTACCTTGTTTTGAAAAAAATATTTTTCAATTAGATTGCTCCTTTAACTTGTTGAAAGGAGAAAATATTATTATTGAATAATTAATGTAAATTTATTTATTGAATAATTTATGTAAATCTATTTATTACTCTAATCACTTATCAATACGATTTCAAAATTTTATCAATTAATCAACAACACAACTAAACCAACCAGTGAAATAACAGAAATTTGAATTGCTTTCATTAAAAATTAAAATAAAGGAAATAGATTTTTCTCGATTTCCCACCTGATACGTTTCCAAATCAGAAGTCATAAATTGCATAAATTAAATGTTTGGGATTTGACAGAGTATTACCGCAAAACAAAATGTAAACAACAGACAAAAACTAAACGTAAACATAAACAAAAGTAATAGAAATTAATCATATAATCAGATTGCAGCAAAATATAAGAAAATTTTTTTCTAATAACATTTTTTAAGAAATAAAATTCTTAGTTTCTTTATTTAGTCATAAAACAAGAATTTTTATTAACTTTATATTAGTAGTAATTATTTTAATTTTATTTTTTGTTAATTTGATTTAAAAAGTTTATTTATATATAATTATTATTAATATTATTATTATTAATATTATTATTATTATTAATATTATTATTATTATTATTATTATTAATATTTTTTGCATTGTTAATTAACATTATTTTAAGCTAATTTTTTTTTTATTTCTTTTTTTTTTTTTTTTTTTTTTTTTTTTGCAATCTTAATTACATTACTCGAAAACATCTTATTTAATAAACAAAATTTCAAAGTTAAAACTTTAAAAAAAGTATTTTTACAACATTTTACACAAAAATGTAAAAAAATGTTTGAAAAAATGTTAAAAAAATTAGATAATTTTTTTCAAATCGGCAGTATGATACATCTCCATGATGTGCTTTAATAAATATTGTATATTTTCGAATAGCATTTATTTTTAACTGTGGTTAAGACCTGACTGGGATTTTCACGGGGTTCAAAATTGAGACTAATGAATTAAATTAATGATTAACTTATTAATCTTTAATCTTTATAGAAAATTTTTGTTATTCTATTTGTGTCAGTTTTCCGAATATATGTTGTTTATTTAAAAAAAAAAAAAAGGAATATATCTGTATCTGTGGTTTTAGGAGAAAGTTTTAATTCATTAATTTGAATATTTCAAACAGCAATTCATATAATTAATACAATAAATTGAAAAAATATTGTACCCTATGATGAGTTTAAACTATCCTGACTACCTACGTTGCAAATATCCTAACTTTTACAAAAATGTAAGAAAGTACTAAACACCTAATTCCTGTATGTATATATGTATATATATATATATATATACATATATATATATATATATATATATATATATATATATATATATATATATATATATATATATATATATATATATATATATATATATATATATATATATATAAATAGAGAGAGAGAGAGAGAGAGAGAAATGCCATACCTGATTAACACCTTAAAATACCCCAAAACGAGTATTTAATGAGCTATTTAATGAAAAATTATCAATTGCGGACAATGAAGTTTTTGTAAAACGCCTGGTCCTTAAAATAGTAGTAAATAGAATTGATAATATATATAACTTGGATTTAAATTTAAATTATAAATTTAAACAACTTTTTAATGTTTATAAGTTTTTCGTATTACAACGCATCCAAGTTTGAATCACTAAATAAAAATATATAATATCATAAATGAGTAAACTCCTTACTCATAATAGTACATGAAATATTTTATTAATTTGATGCTTTCACTAGAAACAGTTTGCATTTTTGAAAATACTTTGTACAATTTGTATATTTTGAAAATATTATGTCAACATCTTAAAAAAAGGGGATTAAACCGGCAAGTAATGGATTTTAGGTGTTCGAGAAAGGTAACTTCCAGAGATAGTGCAAACTTTAAATTTTGTAATATTGATAGAGGTATCAAATAAGAATGCTTTACAAAAAAGTGTAGTGATTGGATCCTGGGAACAACACGCACCTTAAAAATCGGGACCCATTGTCCTAAATGTGGAAAGTAGAAAAAAATAGTTTCTTTTTTTGTCGTATCTTAAATAGATAGAAATTCATCGGAAAAAATAATTTATCTAAAAAAAATTTCCTATTGTTTAAAAATATCGACCAAGGAAAGTTTATAACCACCTCAATTTGAGGGGTTGTCAACTTTACAAGGTTCGAATTTTTGAACATTAAAGTATTTTTTTACTAAACTTTGCAATATATTTTTAGCATTATTGCCCCCTTCCATAACAAATATTAGGACCTTAAGATCCTTATATTAGGATAGTATTGTTCCCAAACCCTTACATTAGTATTGTTCCCAAACTCTGGTCATCGTGATTTTATTTTAAATCTTATGTATTAGTGTAAAGATATCAATAGTTAATTATGATGAAATGGTTACTAAAATGGTGACTTGAAAAGGTTACTTATCTTGGAACAATCTTGAAATTGGTCTTTTGGTATATATTCAATTGTTTTTCAATTAGAGAATGGTTTAAATGATACAAACTAATTACATTTACATTTATTTCTAACCAGTAATAGTTTCCAAAAGATACACATAAATATTATAATGCATTTAATTTTAAAGTAAAACTGTTTTAAAGGAGGTATGTCGGGAGCTCTACGTAGCGCTGGCTTTAAGCAGGTTTTGCGTATAATTTTTAAGGCTTCAAAAACTTTGTATCCACTCTCTTAAAATTGTTTAAAATGAACAGATTTAAAGAACTGTTCAGACCAGAAAGCTAATCCTTTATTTTAATTGGAACTTGAAATAAGTGAAAGAAATTCACTTGTATGCTTGATAAGAGGATGTCCTTTTGGTGCTACTTGTTGACCAAGTTTAACATAAGCATCTTTATACTTGTTAATGGTTGACTCGTATTCAGGTAACCAACTAGAACCAATACATACAAATTTAAGAGAATTTAAACATTTAAAGAAATTAACTATAGAAATGAAATGTTTATCTTTTTCCAGCTTTGATGATTTTATTAATTTATCTATCACATAAATATTTTTTAGTAGTTTCGAACATTCTCCACTTTTAAATTGATATAGGCCTTAGATAACCTAAAATTTGGTTCCGCTGGTTTGCCGATAAAATGGGATCTATATATTGCAAACATTATTATAAATTCTGTTTGTACAACAAGTCTAGTAGATTAGTTGAACGCAGCTGTACAACTAATTTTCTAGAGGCACGTGACATCTTAACAGAAGCACTATTTCAAAATTATGCGATAAACGTAATTTACACAGACTTCGTTAAAAATTTTGACAAAGTACCTCACTAGCATCTTCTTCTAAATTTTAAAGCATTTGGCATACACAGCACACTCCTGGAAGACTGATTAAAAAAACGAAAACAGAGGGTAGTTATCAGCAATAGCAAGTCTGAATGAGTAAATGTTAGTAGCGGATTTCCACAAGGTTTAGTGTTTCCACGAGGTTCACTTATGTTTCTAATATATATAAACAATCTTCCAGATAACACGGCACATCATATAAAGATCTATGTCTATGGCAGTAAGATCTTCGGGGTCATCAAATAGAAGATGATGCAATAAAACTACAACTAGACATAGATCATATAGTCAAATGAAGTGGCTTATATTTTTCAACCTCGACAAATGTAAAGTCATGCTGGTCACTCTAATAAGTCAGTTCACCTTAACTTAATTCTTGATATTAACAACAATCAAATAGAACTTAAAGTAACAATTATTGTACGTGACTTTAATGTTCTAACATCAAAAAATATAAAGCATTAAGTAGAGGCTGCAACAGTTAGATAAAATCAAGTCCTCGGCTGACTAAAAAAATCACTTCGCACAAGAGGGATAATGTCATGGAGGGCACTCTACACAATATACATTAGACCTCATCTCAAGTTACAACAACAATAACTCACCTGTCTATCTCTGTTCTCTAGATGCTGAAAAAGCATTTGACAGTTGTAGCTGGGACATTTTATTTGAGAAACTATACGACAATAAATTACCGTTTTTATATTATTAATACTATATCGTCATTGTGCCATGAAAGCAATGCTTCTGTCACTTATCTAGGATGCAATTCATACCCATTTTATCTATCAGAGGAGTGAGACAAGGATCGATTCTGTCTCCTCACCTGTATAAAATATACACTCAAAGCCTATTTGAAACCATACAAAATAAAAGTATTGTAGGGACATCAATTTATGGAAATTACACAGGTGTTGTAGCACACGCTGATGACATCATACTTCTTAGTTCTACCCTGTCTGGGGTATAAAAAAGCTTATAGTAGCTTGTAATATATACACTAACGCAAATTATATAAAGTTAAATGCTAATAAGACCGAGTTCTTGTTCACTGGAAAAAAAAAATTGCAAACTGCACGATAACTGTCGACCACCAACAAATAAAACTGGATGATAGACTTAATCATCTAGGATTTATATGGGATACTAAAAGCTCTTCTTTTGCCTCACTTAATCATTCAAATATTGATAATAAAATATCAAATTTGAGGGCAATAATCCAAACTCTTATTCAGTCTGGAATCCGCTTTGCTCATCCAACCCCTATTGTCCAGCTATATAAAACATTGGCGGTTCCGGTACTTACGTAGGGTATTGAATTTTGCGATTATAAAGAGGTATTAATACAAAAGCTTGATATAATAAGGAGGAATGCACTTAAGTCACTCTTCAATGTTTCCAAACACAGCAAATATTATATTCATTCTTTGTTTTACATCCAAGACGTATCAACAATCGTACGGCAAAAGATGTTAAACTTATTTATTCGCATATTGTGCAATAAGACAACCTTTGGTATTCTAAATTCGCAGTTTAAAAACCAAACCGCTAAGCACCCTTGATGATGTCATAGGTTTATGCAATCGGAATGAACTTAATCTAGAGAGCTTAATGCAAAACAAAAAAAACGGTAAAAACTATTGTTTTAAAAATATAATTCCT